GGCTTTGAACAGGCATGCAGTGGCACTTAACTCTAGTTCTTTTAAAGACAAGGTCTCACTAAGCAGCCAGAGCAGGCCTCAAATTTACAATCCTCACTCCTTAGCCTCCTAAGTAGCTGGGATTACAGGCCTGTGCAACTGTACCTGGCTTCTATTTCTAAAGGCTCAGTATTTGTGTACACAAAGGAAAGAATTAACATTTGCAGAACACTCTATGGGATAAATGTAGTATTTGACTTTTAAACCCATATCACATTGACTGTTACCACCTAATCCAAGATATTGCTCATAGTTAAGCGTGAAAACCAAAGCTTTGAAAGAATAACTTGCCATAGGTCAAATAGGTAGTTGGGGCCACTGAAGTCTCAACTTTTTTGGAGAAACTTTTAAACATTCTAATCGTTGAGTTTTCTCTCAATGGTCTTTTATCCCATCAGAGATGGGGGTGGAAGATGGAAGGAGCAAGAACAAAGGATAAAAAAGTCCTCTCGCTTGTAATCTCAGAGATTCTAGGATACAGAAGGAAGAGCTGAAGTCTTTGTTAAGCCAGGTGTGGTGGTGCATCGACTCAAAGAGGCTGAGGTGGGAGGATTGAATCTGCGTGTATCAATCCCTACCACAAAACAAGAACAAAAACTTCTTTAAAAACCTGATCCCAGCAGCTTGGGAGGCTGAGGCAGGAGTTCCACAATTTGAGACCAATCTCAGCAACTTAGTGAGGCCCTAAGGACTTAGCTAGACCCTGTCTCAAAAAATTAAAAGGGCTGGGAATGTGGGTCAGTGATTTAGCACGCCTGGGTTCAATCCCCAGCACAAACAAACAAACAAATAAACAAAAACCCAAACACTGAATTGTTCAGTTATCTATATGAAAGATTACAAGGTATCCCTTAAAGGGTATTATAATTTTTGGCAGTGCTGGGGATTGTATCAAACCCAGGGCCTTATGCATGCTATGCATGTATTCTACTGCTAATCCCTAGGGTATTACTTTAGTTAAAAATCAGCTCTCCAAGAATACTGAGGAATAAAAAAAAAAAAAAAAAAAATAAAAAACGCAAAATTCAGTGATTTGGAAGTATTCACTTTATCAACTAGGTGATGATGAATCAATGTCAACTTGGGGAAGGTACTAAGACACATTTAACATGTTATTCAAATTATGCCTCAATAAGTTTATACTTGAAATATACAAGATTTCTTCCTGAAGATAAGTGAAAAATATTCTAAGACCTACAGATATAACCCAAACTAACACCATATTTTTCCTTGTCACATTCCTCATGACCATTGATTAGATGAGGCTTTGGTTATTTTATTATATAAACTATAAAGCTTCCAACACCATTTCTGGGGCTACCTCTTGCTTGCTCAGAAAACACCAGGGGAAACAAAAACAACCAGAAATCTGTACCTAACTTTCTTGTGACGTGTTCACCTGCTTTAGTTCCTTATTTGAAACCAAGGACGGTTCAATTCACATGGCCCTATTCTCAGGCTATGTACACATTTGTCCTCATATGCCAACTGTGAAGAATATACCAGGAACAATCATAAGTAGGGAAAACCTACCATCAACTTTAAGTGAGGCTTACGTTTAGCAAAAGAGCTGGCTGGTTATTTTACTTGTCAATATAGACTAACATTCAATCATACTTATATAAAACCAAAATAAAGTATGTTCCACCCAACTTAAAAAAAAATCAGATTAAGTATAATACTAAGAATGTTAGCAAAGTTTCCCATTTCAGAAATGTCGCCTTTATAAATGTTCTTCCACAGGCATAACACAGTCTGTTATAGTTCAGATTATGTTGGATAAATCCAGACTTTCATACTTTGGAAAACATAAAATATATCCAGTAGAGCACACTGGTTCAAGTGCTGGATTATTATACATTATCACTGTATGACATTATGGACAGCAAGTTATCTAACTTCTCAGTCTGTTTCCTTGTCTATCAAACAGTGGCAGTATTTATTGTTGTGAATGATACAATGTATTGTTTAAAACAGTGTAATATACTAAATGCTCAATAAATTATTTTATCTAGATACCTCATTCTGTTCTAATGTATCATTTTGCAGGTGGTTCTTTTTAAGCTACACTACATTTGGGTCATATATCAAAAGATAATAATTTATTATCTAAATTTCAGAATAACACTCATACTTTAGAAAGAAATGTTAAAAATGAACTAATTCCTGATTCTCATGTTCAGAATTCTATACCGCTGGAGAAGTCATTTTTACATTCGGTTAACCACCTCTAAATTTCACCGTCTTGTGTTAATAAACATACTTTAACACAACCCATTTTCTCCTGAAAGCTACACGGTAGCCCCGCATACACCAGCACACATGAATTGACTCAGTTTGTCTTTAAAGCTCATTACAATTACTCCTAAAATATTTAACTTTAGGTAAAGAAGAAAAACATTTCTCTATATACACTATGAAAAACTAGAGTTTGACTTTAACACAAAAAAGAATTGAAAATACAATCTTTTTGTTTCCCAAGAGAAAAATGACATATACCAGGAAACTTGTGAGTCACAGAACAAACTTGACTCCCTAACCAACATGAGAAATGGCTAAGATTTTAAGTTTTCATGGAATCAAGATGCAACCAAAGCCTGACTAGAAGCAAACAGGACATGATCATTAACCGCATTGTTTAGAGGAAGAGTCCCTACTATTTTAGACAGTTTAATCATGTCTAAAATGTTCAAACTATCACTTGGAAGAAGAGCTGTGCCTAATAGCTTCATTTTTTTAGCATGCTTCAAACTTTACCAACAAAGAGGTAAAGCCTTCAAACTTTTAAAAGGAGATGCTTATAACTTTCAAATGGCTAGGTGACATGCTTAGGAACAAATTTAAGAATAAGCTTTCTTCATCAAAGAATAGAAAGGAATATTGTTACTTATTAAGTAGCATTACCAATGTTACTTCACTCAGACAACAGGCCGATTAGTAATAAATTCATATTTTAGACTGCTTCAGAGAATATAATGTGAACTTTCCTCCAAACAAAGAGAACAAATACTTTAAACAACAATCTACAAAAATCAATATACAACTGAAGGCTTCAAGTAACATGACAGAAAATCCTAGTGACAAAAAAGTACTTAGCATCATAATGGCTCATGACCTACATTACTCTTTTACATTTTGGGAATTATTTTTTTCTTCTATTGTGGTACAAATTCCCATAAAAATTAATAAGCAAATCTGATATTCATCCTATCACTGCAAATTCAATGCCAATGACAAGCATGAGCTGAAAACCAGATTCTTGTGCTGAAATCAACTTTCCAAAGTCCTGGGACAAAACCACTATGCTAATCTAAGAATGCACAGACTTAAGAATATGTAATGTTCCACTTTTAGGGGCCACTTCCGGTAAGTAAAAACTTTCTACGACTGGGAAAGTCAGGAAGTGAGGAAACAGGAATACTCTGGCACCTTCCTCAAATGAGCAATATTAAAAAAAAGAAAAAAAAAGGCTAATCTTAATCTAGTTTACTCTTCTCAGAATGGATACACCTACAGTTTCTTACTAAAACTTAAAACAGGAGACAAGAAGTTCACTTAATTCAGTTCTGAATTTCAACAAGCACCCTCTACAGTGATATCATAAAAGTTCCACCGGAAGGTCAACAGGAACTCTATTATTATGGCCCATATCAAACAGTCCCACTATCCGGAATTCTCCTGGATATACACATATAGGTTTGTCAACCAAAAGCAGCCCCCACCCACCCATGCCGCACACGTTGGCATTTTCAGTTTATAGGCGGGTCCTGGAACAGCTAGAAACCAGGAAGCTCCAGGATAATTAGAGGACTTGAAGGAACTCATCCTGGGAGAGGAGGGAGACCCTCAGAAATCATAAGGAGCTAGAATGAGGATGTCTCTGTCCACCTCTCCTTCTCGCCCCATCCAAACTTCACCCGGGCCTTAAAGTCCAAGAGGGGGAGGCCATTTTAATAAGGCCTGGCTGAAGAATGTGAAGGGAGGAAACCAGGGAAGGACGTTCGGAAAGGAAAGCCAAGTACTTTTCCCCAAAAGCAGTCGAGTCTGGTGTCAGCACCTGGAGCCTGAAGAGTGAGGAGCAGGTCTTAAGGGCCTGAGAGGGGTACAAAAGTAGTAGTGGCTTATCACGAGGGGGGGGTCGCATGGTCTGAGCCCAGGGAGCGCAGGCCCCTTACCCCCAAGTGGGGGAAAGACCCTTTCTCCGGCCAACAGCTCCGACCCTCGCCCCTGAGTCAGAGGCTACTACCCAGAGGTCCAGAAGGCGGGAGTTGGCTAGTGCCGGCTTCTCCTCATCCGGCCATGCGGCGCGGGGGCGGCCATCCTGAGGGGTCCGGGATCCAAGAGGGCACGGGGGGGCCGGACGCGGCGCTCACCCGCGGGCCGCCTCCAAGCTCTTAATGAGCTTCTTGATCTTCCAGATCTCCACGTTCCTGTCGGCAGCACTGGGGTCGTCCGCCATCTTCTCGCCTCCTCCTCCCTAGAGCGGCCCGGCGGGGCCCGGAGACACCAAGACCACAGAGTTAGCGCCGCCGCTGGGGCAGAGCGGCCCCCTTCCTTGCTACCCCCGAAAGGCCCTCCTCTCCCCGCCCCGCGCGGACCGCCGGATAGGTCACTGGCCTTTCCCTCCCCTGTCTCACCTAAAGGCCCAGTCCTGGGCGGCAGCGGCTGCTCCTCCCCGGCGGCGGCTCCGCGGCGGCGGCGGCTCTGACGTAGGACACCGGCTCCCTCTCTCCAGGCAGCTGCATGTGTTGCAATCCGCTCACATGGGGCCTGTGATATCACTTCCTCCGCCAGGGGCGGAGTGGAAGGCGGCGGGCGGAAGGGAGGGGGCTGGTTCTGATGAAGAGAAGCTCTGCGCGCGCCGCGACTTTCCATTGGCCCTTTGTGCCGCGGCCTACAACGGGCCTGGTGATTGGTTGCAGCTGCGGCCGCACTGCCTTGTGAGGTAGAAGCAGGGGGCGGGAAGTACCGCGTTTCTTCCGTCCCGGCATGCAGAGAGTAGGAAGCGGGCGGAAGCCAGCGGCTCTCGCGACGATTTGCTTAGAGCTTCGCCAGGCTCCAATGGGGGTGGCTCTTAAAGGGCGAGGCACGGGGGTCGTCGTATTTTGCTTTTTCTTGAGTGAACAGGGTAGGCACCTGAAGCTCTGCGACACAAGAGAGGAGCTTGGGGCTCGACGCGCACGTCCAGTGTTGCTTCAGAAGGCTCAAAGGAACGTCTCGGGCTAAGCGACTTCGCTGACGAAGTGTTTGGGCCTGTGTGCGTCACTGCTTCGAGGACTAGTGTTCAGAATCCTGGCCAGTGAGCCCGGATCAGGAGCCTGAACTACCTGGTCCGCGACCCTCATCCACAGGGGCGAAGGAGGCACGTTCCTTGTCGCTCTGTATGGGTTCACTCTGGACTTGGAACTGTGTGAGGTTTAAGAAAGCAGGAGTGTCTGAGATAGGAGACCTGCGGTATTTTGACTCCACGTATATAGTTTGGTCTGAGCTGTCTAGTCTTGACTCCATGTATGTTTGGTCTGGAGCAAAATTGGTAGCTGTATATATTAGAACTTTTTTGTATTTGAGCTAAATTTTTTTAGTTGGCCATTTGGTCCCTCTCATCTCGGGTTCATTCAAATATTTGAACCCAGACCGTGTGCTACATTCTGTTTTCCTGAGGATACAGGAGTGCATCAGACAGGTAACAGTGCCTACCCTATTGGAATTTACTGTCTAGTTGGGTTTATAATCGTTTTCGTTTTTTTTTTTTTTTTTTTTTTTTTTGGCGCGGGGACGGGGTACGGGGGATTAAATCCAGGTGTGCATACTGGACCACAGTCCCAGCCCTTTTTTCTATTTCATTTAGAGGCAGGGTCTCGCTGAGTTGCTAAGTGCCTCGCCAAGTTGCTGAGGCTGGCTTTGAACTCGCAAATCCTCCTGCCTCAGCCTCCCAAGTCTATGGGATTACAGGTGTGCGCCACTGCGCCCGGCTTCTAATATCTTGGTGTAATAATCTAATTGTACAGATAAATTGTACTTAAGGCTCTAAGTGTGGATGATGGGAGATCCAACTCTGAAATGAGGCGTAAAAGATGAATAGGAGTTGGTCAGTGAGGCGCATAGCACGTTTGAGGAACTACAAAATTAACCAGTGCTGGAGCAGGGGTTGGGGAGTGTGGTTTGAGGAAGCAACAGGGGAAGGGGTCACGTAGTGGTCTTTTAAGCTGTTTGGTTTTTTTCTCTAAATATTTAAAAGACTTTAGAGCCCTTGCCTGGATTGGAGAGGGCAAAAATAGAAACCTATAGACCCTTTTGGTCGCTTCAGTACGATGTGAAAGATGACTGTAGCTTAGAAGAGGGTGGCGGCAGTGCAGATGGAAGTGAATGAATAACGATACGGTATATATGAGGTTAATCTGTATGAATTGGACCCATATATGGCCTGGATAAGAAAGGAAGAAAGGTTCCCATAGAGTACTGAAATGATGACATTTACTGAGGTAGGAAAGAGGAGGAACAGGTTTTGCTCGGGGATAGTTGAGAATTTCATCTTAGCTCTATTAAGTTTACAATGGTTGGAACCTGGCTTGCAGCTCAGTGCCAGAGCATTCTCCTAGCATGTATGAGACTGTGGTTCAATCCCCAGCACCACAAAATAACTATTGCTGTTTGAGATTGCTTATAAGATGTTTAAGTAGTGATGTCAGTCATGCAGTTGCTGTTTATTTGGGCTTTAAATACTTTTGGCATGTTTTCTCAACTTTGTCTACACTTTGGAAATGGGAGTGTCACCCCCATTTCGTGCATGGGAAAATTGAGGTAAAGAAAGGTAAAAGATCTTGCTCAGTCACTCAGCTACTTTGTGCTTTCCCAGCTCCATATTCATTATTCAGTGCATAATATCAATGATCTGATTACCTATCTCTCCATAGGCTAGGAACACAGACTTCTATGGGGCAAGTTTTCTTTCCCCCTAAAGGAATCTCTTTAGGTTCTGTTTTAATTTCCAGTATGTTGTCTCTCATTGTATAACATTGTACTCCAGCTCTGCCTGTTATTCACTGTGCTTGGCAGTAAGGTCTTATTATTATTTTTTTTTTACTTGTCAGTGGACCTTTATTTTATTTATTTACATGTGATGCTGAGAATCAAGCCCAGTGCCTCACACATACTAGGCAAGCGCTCTGCCACTGAGCCACAACCTCCGCCCCAGTGAGGTCTTCTTAAATATGCTGTTTACTGACTAGGGTCTACTGTGTCCTAAGCTTTTCTCTACTTCATTTCCCTTACCCTACTTTCTATATTAGGTTTCCTTGCTTTACCTTCCTTTTGTTATGTTTATATTGTATCTTTAGGTTCCTTTGAAGACTTTCCAAGCTTTTTAGACCAGCTCATGGTTTCATCTGGTCACATCTCAGGTGGAATTGGTATTTGTCAACCTTTGAATTTTTTGGGGGGGGGCGGTTACTGGGGATTGAACTTGGGGATGCTTGGCCACTGAGCCACATCCCCAGCCCTATTTTGTATTTTATTTAGAAACAGGGTCTCACTGAGTTGTTTAGCACCTTACATTGCTGAGGCTGGCTTTGAACTTGTGATCCTCCTGCTTCAGCCTTGTGAGCTGCTGGGATTATAGGTGTGCACCACCATGCCTGGCTAACCTTTGAATTCTTGAAATGTGTTTCAATATTGCAGCTCCAGGCAGTTCAACTGTATCCCCAAAAGCTCATTTGCCTAATTGCTGCAAATTCACCATCTCTGCATTTAAACTTGGATTCCATCAATGCATTAGAGGCAAAGGCTCTGACAGGAGAGAATTTTGGAAGGAATGGAACGGGAAGCTAGTAAGTGAAGGCTTTTAAAATGGAACGATGGGGGTGCTTGGGTTGTGGCTCAGTGATAGAGCGCTTGCCTAGCATGTGCAAGGCCCTGGGTTCAATCCTCAGCACCACATTAAAATAAGGTACTATGTGCAACTAAAAAATATTTTAAAAAATAAAGTGGAACTATGATCATTTAGGATTGAGAAGGAAACTTGTGATGTCAGGGTGATGCTGATTTTTCAAACTGCTACATGGTAAGAGTAGAATATATAACCTCTGATTCTCTGAATAATGAAGGAGTTGTTCTTGATTATCAAATCTTGTTCAAGAGTTTTTATAGGGGCTGGGGATGTGGCTCAAGCGGTAGCGCGCTTGCCTGGCATGCGTGCGGCCTGGGTTCGATCCTCAGCACCACATACCAACAAAGATGTGTATCCGCCGAGAACTAAAAAAATAAAAAATTAAAAAAAAGAGTTTTTTATAAAACTTACTATAGATTATATAGAACCTATCTGGGTATATTGCAGCACTTCTGTAATCTCAGCTACTTAGGATACTGAGGCAGGAGGACTGCAAGTTCAAGACCAGCCTGGGCCACTTAGCAAGACCCAGTCTTAAAAAGGGCTGGGGATGTAGCTCAGTAATAGAGTAACTCTGGGTTCAATCCCTATTACTCCTACTCCCTGACCCTCACATCTCTAGAATCCTTTCTTCCCAGAGGTCTTTGCATTGGCTGAAAGTTCCAGCCCTCTAACCAGCTGGTCTTTCTCGTGATCAGCCTCTCCAGAGGTTTCCTTTGGGCCCCTCTCCTAAGTGCTTAAACTCAATATAAACTGCGGCCATCTGAAGAGGCTCATATGAACAACAAAAGAAACTCAGAAAATTCCAAGGATTCAATAGCTGTCAATGGAACTGAAAACTTTATCGTATACCACAGCTAGGGTATATAAAGACCCAGTACTTTAAATTGTAATTCTGAAAGGCTCTAAATTCCTAACAGTTGTTAACACATCAGCCTCTTATGCAGGATGAAAGATCCTACATACCCATTCTACAGACTCCGTCTTTCTACCAGGATAAACAAATCTCCAGGAATTATACTTTGGATTTGCTTTATCTTAGTCTCATAACTTTATTTTCTGCCACAGATTTAATGAATTTCTGGGTTGGTGAATGCATCCTTGAACTAGGAAGATTCTGTACTCCAACTCTACAGGAATAGAAATTCCTGCACTCAGAGGACGCTCATGAACCAAACTCTTGTGTACTTCTTCATTTGGCTGTCCATGTGCATCTGTTGTAATATCCTTTATAATGAAAGGCTAAATTGAAATAAAGTTTCCCTGAATTCTCTGTTCCACCACCATAGCAAATTACCAAACGCAATTAGGGTTAAAGGATCCCTGATTTTATAGTCACTTAGTCAAAAACAGGTCACAATCTGGAACTTGTGATTGGCATCAGAAGTGGGGAGAGCCATTAACTTGTGGGATCTGATTCAAATTCCAGGTTGATAATATCAGAAGTTAAAAGTGAGGGCTGGGGATGTGGCTCAAGCGGTAGTGCGCTCGCCTGGCTTGCGTGCGACCCGGGTTCGATCCTCAGCACCACATACCAACAAAGATGTTGTGTCCGCCGAGAACGAAAAAATAAATATTAAAAATTCTCTCTCTCTCTCTCTCTCTCTCTCTCTCTCTCTCTCTCTCTCTCTCCCCTCTCTCTCCCCTCTCTCACTCTCTCTTAAAAAAAAAAATGTGAATCATAGGATACCCAGCTCGTGTGCAGAAAGTTGAAGTGCTTGGTGTGGAAAAAACCCACCATTTGACCATGACCAAAGAAGCATTCTGTGTTGAGGGTAGAAAAATGGAATTTGTATTTCTTCATTAATATAAATTAAACGAACAACATTTTCCTGGGTGTCTTAATAGTTATATGTCTGTCTGCTCTGCCCCTGATCAGTTTTTTTTTTGAGGGGGTGGTACTGGGGATTGAACTCAGGGGCACTCAATCATAGACCCACATCCATAGCCCTATTTTTTTTTATATTTATTTCTTAGTTGTAGATGGACATAATATCTTTATTTCATTTTTTTTTTCACATGGTGCTGAGGTTTGAACCCAGTGCCTTTCGTGTGCTAGGTGAGCACTCTATCACTGAGCCACAACCCCAACCCCCTCCCAGCCCTATTTTGTATTTTATTTAGAAACAGATATCACTGAGTTGATTAACACCTCAACATTGCTGAAGTTGGCTTTGAACTCCATCCTCCTGCCTCACCCTCGTGAGCTGCTGGGATTACAGGCGTGCACCACCATGCCTGTCCAGAGAGTTCTATATATTTTTAAAATTTTAAAATTTTTTCACTTGTAGGTGGACACAAAACCTTTATTATTTATTTATTTTTTTAGTTGACACAATACCTTCATTATGTATTTATTTTTATGTGGTGATGAGGATCAAACCCACGGCCTCACACATGCAAGGCAAGTGCTCCACCACTGAGCTATGCCCCCAGCCCCAGAGTTCTGTATTGAGGCTGGGGTATACTCAGTGGTAGAGCGGAAAAAAATAGTTTGAAAAGTATCTGTGGATTTGGTTATCTCTAAGGCACTTACAACTTCAGTAAGTCCCAGCAAGATGCAGTGGCGCATACCTGTAATCCCAGCAATTTTGGGGGCTATATCTTGGAAAATTAAAACCAAATATGTGGCCCAAGGTTTTTCTGGATAGCACACAGAATGGGAATGACCAGAATAAATGGCAATCCTATCTCAGTCCACTTTGTGCTGCTATAACAATATTGATTGGGTAATTTATTATGAATATATTGGTTCAATTCTGCAATGTGGAGAAATCTCAGAATCAAGAGCCACCTTGCTGATACCAAGTGTGGTGGTGCATGCCTGTAATCCTGGCTACTAGAGAGGTTGAAGCAGGAGTATTACAAGTTTGAGGCCAGCCTGGGCAATTTAGTGAAACCCTGGTCTAAATTTTTAAAAAGTGCTCTGGGTTTAGCTCAGGTATATATATAGTGCTTTCCTATCATGAGGTCTTGGGTTCAATCCCCAGTGTCACCAAATGGGGGCGCCGTGGGGGGGGAAGCATTGCTGCATAATCCAAACAGAAGGGCAGCAGGCAAGAGAGGAAAAAAGAACTTGTAGCCTCAATCTCTCGTAACTGGCATTTGTGAATTCATGAGCCATGCAGACTTTCCTTGTATGATCTTAAAAAAAAATTGTATGCCATTTACCTCAGTTGATTTTTTTTCTTTTTTAGTTTCATACATTCTTGGGAAAATAATATGGCTGAACAGGGTGGTGCACACCTTTAATCCCAATGGCTCAGGAGGCTGAGGCAGAAGAATTGCAAGTTCACAGCCAGCCTCAGCAATTTAGTGAGTCCCTAAGAAATTTGGTGAGACTCAATGAAAAATGCTGGAGATGTGGCTCAGGGGTTAAGGGCCCCCTGGGTTCAAACCTTGGTACTTAAAAAGAATGGCACACACCAATAATCCCAGCTGAAGTGTAACCTTAGCTATTTGGGAGGCTGAGAAAGGAGACTTGCAAGTTTGAGATGAGCCTTTTCTAATTATTTTCATCTTGTTGGCCATGGTGACACATGCTTGTAGTTCCAACTACAGAGGCTGGGAAAGGATTACCTGGGCTCATAAAATTATAAGAATAGTCTGGGCAATGTGGAAGACCCCAATTTATTTATTTATTTTTTTTTTAAAGAGAATTTTTAAATATTTCTTAGTTTTCGGCGGACACAACATCTTTCTTTGTATGTGGTGCTGAGGATCGAACCCAGGCTGCACGCATGCCAGTCGAGCGCACTACCGCTTGAGCCACATCCCCAGCCTAGACCCCAATTTAAAATGAACCCAAATTCACCTTTTATCTTGGCCTGGAGATGGAGAGAAGCATACGTGAACGTATAAATTTGATTCACAGCACATTATCAATTAAATTTGGTATAAGCTCCCCCACCCCCATTGTGAGTTTGACAGACAAGGATGTAATTTATAAATCAATAACCAAAAGGCTTTAATTTCTAAAATGGAAATGTAAAACCACCCTGAATTTTGGACAGTAGAGGCATTTTTAAATATTTTAGTGTTTATGTGCTAGGAATCATTCTGGGTGCAGAGACGTTGTCAATGAACAATTTTTGGTGTTAATGTAGCTTACATTTTAGGTGGGGAAAGGACAAATTGAATAGTAAAAAATTCTAAGAGGAATAGAAAATGACAAACTTGAGAAGGGGGGCTATTTTTATATTTCTCTGTCTCAAAAAAAAAAAAAGTGATAAGTGAGTCAAATGGAAATGTTGAGACTGTTCCATCAAGGGATAAAAGCCAGAAGATAAAATTGGGAGAAAAGAGTAAAGTGGTAATGAGGGGCCACATCATGTGAAGCTGTAGGCCTTGGGAAAAGCTTAGAGAAGGGGAGTGCCATCTCACTGCTGTGAGAAAATACCAATGTACCAATATAGCAATGGTTTAAGTGGATAGACTGGTCAAAACTCAGGTAATCCAAGGTAATTTACAATAAAAGTAGTAGAGATGGTAATTCTTTACATACTTTGGTAAGATTTGATGACTGCAGGTTTTGGTTTGAGCAACTTTAAAAAAATATACATACATTGGTACTGCAAAGACCAACTTAAGGAAGGAATAGAAGGAATAGCAGAAAAATTACAAATTACACTTGTTATCCTATCAAGTACTTATAACAAGAGACTTTCAAGTAGAGGAAATTGTGTTCTATTGTGTGAAATATCGAAGTAAGCGCCTTGATGGGATATAAAAGGTTGAAGAAAATTGGAATTCTTTGCTTGCTTTAGCAGATGCATTCATCTTGGATAAACCATTAGTATTCTCCAGCTTGCACACAGTAGAAAGGATTTCTGGATCTCCATAATCATGAGCAAATTTCTTATAGTGAGCCTCAGACCATATAATATCCTATTGGTTTATATCTTTGGGAAATCCTAATGAAATTTTTAATGCTATTACAGCTTAGATTGAGAGAGAACTGAATTACAGTTCAATTTGTTTATTTCTCCTACTGGGCACCTTAAGTCAATTGCTATAGACATCTACTCAAGTACCCTTTCCAGTAGAACCCAGATTCTGTTCAGCGTATGCTTCAGTCCCAAGGGTAAACCTTGATTAAAACTTGCTATTAATGATTAGTTGGGGTACTTGGAAATCTTGGAGGACAGTTTAGCTACCATACTGATCTGAACACAGCTGAGGTCAATCAGAAAAGCTGAGGTCAATCAGAAAAGCATCTTCCAATATAACAAACCATCTTTTATGACAGAACCATTGTAGATTCCTATCAAGTGTTCATGTGGCTGAAAACCTGAGTATCATCAACTCACACAAATCCTAATAATTTTCACATGGGTGTTACGAAGTAGACAAGTGAATTTTCTAGTTATGCAATGTAGAAATCACTCACTTCCTCCACATTAGGGCATTTTATTGTATTAACCTTAAAAATGGGAATTTCTGATAGGCATGGTGGTACATGCCTGTAATCATAAGAGGCTGAGGCTCTTAGCAATTTAGTGAGACCCCTATCTAAAATACAAGCCCCCCACAGAGCCCTATATTTCTAAATACCATTAAATTATAAAGGAGCTATGTTACACATGGTATAAGTTTACTTCAGTATCCATGAAATTCAAAGAGAAGTATGTTCAGAGACATGGGAAATAATTCTACTTAATGAGACATAAGAAAAATATCACTTAAGTCATTGGCATGTGATATTTAAAAGTACATCAAAATTTGGGACAAGCCAATACACTGAGGATGGGAAATCACAAACATATCAAGAATCTGGGTTCCTTATTTTTGAAATCACTCAAAATACATCTTATGATTACTACGTATCAGTTTCTTCAACTTAAGCCAAGCTTGGTTGTATACATTTCTAAGCTGACAGCAACCTGAATAAAAGACCTGGGCTTTGAAATAGACATCTAAAATTTGCCTGTGACTTTTTATACCAATCCTTCTGAATCTTTGGATTTGTTCGTCCCTTTATCCAGTGCTAAAAAATCCTGTTTTCTTCCTTGGAAAATATGGAAAGAGTGACATGTCATAGTCCCGAAGCTAAACTGCAGCTCACACCATAAAAACAAGAAATCAAGATGTTTTTTCATATTTATTTTTTAAAAAATCCAGAATGGATCAAAAAGAACAATCTCAAGGATGTAGGTGCCAGATGCGCCAGAGGGTAGCTAGAAAAGTATGCCTTAGGAACATTAGGGATTTAAGAACTACCTTATTTTAAGCTACCTAACATAAATAGCTTAGTTTTCCACTGACCAGCTTCCTCTGTCCCACCTATTACAACTGTAGCACAGCTAGCTCTCTTGCACTGCAAGGCCTCAGCCGAAGGACCCCGAGTACACATCGGCTATTACAGCAGTGCTCTTGACCAACTAGGATCTTCATCCTCATTATGGTCTCATTCCAGGTTATTATGGTGCATCTCCTTCATTGCGTTTGATACAGTTTCACACCTTGAAAATATTGCCACTTTAGCACAAACTAACAGGAAGTCTTTATAATGATTAGTAAATCGTCTACCCCTAACCCTTTCACATGCTGCTGAAAATTAACAGGCCAGGGAGAGAACATTGTGAACTTTGTACTGCCCATTAAATGTTCATCAGCTAATGGTCACTAAATTTACATATCAAGGAAATTATACTGCAAAAATACAGTAAAGACTGAAGGTTGCCCATTTCTGCTCAGGAAGTGCCTTCACTCCTAAGCTTCATATAGAATGTGGTCTTTTTGGCTCCAATGTACTATTACTGTTTCTCCTCCTTTTGATCTTCCTTTTGTTCCCCAGTGCCAGAACTTCCAGAGCCTTCTCTCTCAGATGCCATCTGTTAAGAAAACATTTGATACCCATTTAGAATATTAAGCTAATAGTTTAACACCAAAACAAAGGAGTGTCATCCTGTGCACTCCTGTTCCATCCCCTACACTAGTGCTTTCCCTTGATTGCTTTGACACTATCATTCCCTAAATAGAATCAAGATGGCAGGAGATGTTTTAAAATCCTATTCTCAATTCCATAAATGACAATGGAGAGAACACCAGTAACAGTAATTAAGAAAAGTAACCAGGATCAAAATACCCGTCAGCCCTTGTACCTTTTTGTATGCCATTTCAAAGAGCTTTAATGATGCCTGCTGAAGGGAGGATGCTGCCTGCCTGATGTTTTCTCCCGTTTCACTGTCTTTACGAGCCAGGAGCTCCCTCATTTTGGATATCTCTTCTTTAAGTTTGTTGCACTTAAAAAGACAAAAATTTTCATTTTCTCAGGTCTTCTGTCCCATTATGTGTTGCAGTAATATTCAGAACACTTAAAAAAACAATCACTTGTATCATGATATACAGAAAAACAAACTTCACTCAGTGGTGATAATTCCCCCAATCTTTTCAGTTGTTTGAGAACAGTTTACCTCATCAGCAGGTAATTGGTCCTTGAATTCTTCCATCTTGGTTTCTGTGTCATGAATGATTCCTTCTGCCATGTTAACTGCTTCAACTCGTTCCTTAGAGAAATGAGAAGTTTAATATAAATGTTTTTCCAATCAAAACTCAGAGAGGTTTGAGCTAGACTCTTAAGAATTCTGATAGAAGACTAAGAAAAAACATTTCAAGCAAGGGTGTGGTCATGCACACCTGTAATCCCAGCTACTCAGGTAGCTAAGGTGGGATATTATTTAAGCCCAAGAGTTTGGGACCATAAAAAGACCCCATATGAAAGCAAAAGAGATCTGAGTAATAAGGAAAGGTGAAGATAGTGGTAAAAGTTCAGCCACATGTTCAACTCTACTTTCATGTGAGAGCTTTACTAAGATTAAGAAGCCAAGAAGATGGGCTGGGGTTGTAGCTCAGTGGTGGAATACTTGCCTAGCATTTGTGAGGCACTGGGTTTGATCCTCAACATCAGATAAAATTGAAACGAATAAAGGTACTGTGCCCATCTACCAACATTAAAAAAAACAAAAAACAAAAAAAAACCAAAGTAATTACCTTCTTTCGCCGGTCTTCTTCAGCATACTTCTCTGCATTTTTAACCATATTTTCAATATCATCTTTACTTAGTCCACCAGAGGACTGGATTACAACTGTAAGAAAAAACATCTATGAGCTCTTTGGTAAAATTACATATCCGTTCTTCCTCTGGCCAAGGTCAACTGATCTACTTTTTCCTACTTAAAATTCACCAGAGGGCTCACTGCTTACCTGTTTGCCCCCATTCCCTGAAAAACATTATACTTCTGTAAAGAAGACTCATTCTCCCCTCAGGACAGAGAAGAAAAAGAGGTGCTCGTAACAACAGGATCTAATTCCCAACAGAGGTCCCTCACCTTACTCTTAACTGATAAGGACTTACTCTGCTGCTCACGTCCAGTGCCCTTATCTTTTGCAGAAACATGTACGATCCCATTGGCATCAATATCAAAGGTAACTTCAATCTGAGGGACTCCACGAGGGGCAGGGGGAATTCCAATCTAAAGTAAGCAATACTCAGAGTAAGATCCTTTAACAGGAGGTCTAGTGCTACTATTGTCACAACTATATGATCATTAGGTAAACAAATTATTTGCTTCCTGGAAGGAACAAGTGATACCTTCACACAGTGCACAAAACCATGAGTTTATAAAAGTGAGGGTGGTAGCTTCACTGCTGCATCAACAGGGCTTTATACTTGTGAAGTTTAGTTACATGTACAGTGAATAATAACTATAATGGCTATATTTATCCGGGGACATGGTAAATGATAGGAAACCTCTCCACTGTAGTTCATATCACTAAGAACAAAGCAATACTGATCAAAAGCCAGTAACATCATCAAATGATTCTTACATGATTAGAAGAAACATTTTATAAAGTACTTGATGAAATTTCGAAGGCTCTGATAAACACCAAAGGCATGGATTGCAGAATTCATCCTATATACATCAGCAGTTTATAGGATTTGGAGTACTATCTAACTTTAGAATGAAGCAATTGGAGAACACAATTTTCAGATTTTTCAATACCTACCAAAGTAAACTGTCCAAGAAGTTTGTTGTCTCCAGCCATCTCTCTCTCACCTTGACACACTTTAATTTCCACTTGAGTCTGTCCATCAGCAGCAGTAGAAAACACCTGGGGAACAGTGCATCACAGGTTGACAATCTAATTAAAACACTCTCCTTATAGAAGGCAAACAAGGGAAATAAAGTCACTGGATAGGAATTTATTTTATTTATTCCTATCCAGTGAATTTATTTCTGGAAGGATCCCAACGTACACTATCCTCAGAACAAAGGCCTATGTCTTTTCAGGGAATAGGAGTAGGATTGGTACAGCAAAATGGCATAGTTATTGTTCAAACTAAGCAAATGTACTATACAACGATATAGCATTAGCACAGAAGGTGTCAAGACAAAAATCAGTAGTTATTATGTGCTCAGTCATAGGATGTCATCACATACTTTTTCCTTCAGAATGATGTGTTGACAAAAACATCATTGCACAAAGAGATAATACTTCTGTGATGAGGCAAAGAGAAGGAGAGCTCTTACCTGACTCTTCTTGGTTGGAATAGTGGTGTTTCTATTAATAAGTTTGGTAAAGACACCTCCCAGAGTCTCAATGCCCAGAGACAAAGGCGTGACATCCAGGAGCAGTACATCTGTGACATCACCAGCCAATACACCTCCTTGAATGGCAGCTCCAATGGCCACAGCTTCATCAGGATTAACAGCTTTACTTGGGGCTCGGCCAAAAAGATCTTGCACAGTTTGCTGAACCTAAGCATTAAGAAGAAAAATGTCAGCCAATATTTAGGGTAACTGCCCGATAAGAGTGAGACAGAAAACTTAAGATGGAGAACTTAAGTGGAGAACACAATATTCTCCAATTAAAACACAAACTTAATTTGGTAGGTAATAAAAACCTGAATATCGTAATTCTCCAATTAAGCCAGTCAGATCTAAAGACAGAATTCTACTAAAATTATTTCATAGTTGAATTCTTGTTAATGCATTCTTTAACCAAGAGTTTCTCACTTATTGCCCTTTTATATTTGATTTCCTTTATTCCTAAATATCCCTAATATTTATTATCTGGTTTCCTGCACATTAATGAAATCATTTTTAACAGATGGTGTTAAGGCAAGGGAACTTAAAATTTTGTCATCCAAGTCCTATTAACCGAAGACCAAATAATGGAAGCAACATAATAAAACTGTTGCTAACATGGGGCACATTCTTCTGTTTATTAGGACTAATCAGTACAACTAGAATAGGACCATGAATAAGTTGTTAAAATTCAGGACTCCTCTTGTCCCAGAACCCCCCACCATTAATTTTGTGCTCTTTTCCTGAGCACAAATACTTCAACAGAAAAACTAAGAAAATACCAAGGATCACTAATTCAGAACCCAGAATATAATTCTAATTCAGACTATCAAGGAAGTCTGTGCTTAGTATCAATAGATTAGTGCTTAAGTCATTATTTCTCCATACATCTATGCTTTTTCAGATTGATGTTGATGAATAAACTGTAAAGACATATATTCTGCCAGGTATGGTGGTGCATGCCTTAATCTCAGAGGCTTGGGAGACTGAGCCAGGAGGATCACTAGTTCAAAGTCAGCCTCAGAACTCAGGGAGACCTGTTCTCTAAATAAAAGACATGAATGTGTTTCAGTGGTTAAGCATCCCTGGGTTCAATCCCTAGTACCAAATAAATAAATAAGAGATGGGGGGCTGGGGATGTGGCTCAAGCGGTAGCGCGCTCGCCTGGCATGCATGCTGCCCAGGTTCGATCCTCAGCACCACATACCAACAAAGATGTTGTGTCCGCCGAGAACTGAAAAATAAATATTAAAAAATTCTCTCCTCTCTCACTCTAACCAAAAAAAAAAAAAAAAGAGATGGGGATATAATTTCAGTGATACAGCAACTCTATGGGACAGTTCTCAAAGACATTCTGCTTCCCTTTAACTAAAAAAGCCAAAAAGTCTCTAGTGAGGACACAATCACATCCCTCTTAAAACTGCCCCCTGGCAGTTTACATGCTGGCCCCCCTTTTCTCCATGCCAAGAATTCCATGGGTTCACACCTTGGGCATTCTAGTCATACCACCAACAAGAATCACTTCTCCTATGTCACTTTTGCTGACTTCTGCATCCTGCATAGCTTTTTGACATGGAGCAATGGTCCTCTTGATTAAATCAGTGACAATCCCCTCAAATTGAGCCCGGGTCAACTTCATATTCAAATGCTTGGGTCCAGAAGCATCCATTGTAAGATATGGCAAATTGATGTCAGTCTGCAAACAAAATATTTAAATTGAATGTTAGAAAGTTTAATGTTTTATGTAGAAGCTAGAGTAAAATATAGGAAATGGGGAGGAAATGATAGGATGGGTAAGGGGAAGCAATGCAGAATGAACTCTTAGAAAACAGCCAGGTGCAGTGGTTTGGGAGGCCAAGGCAAGAGGATTGCAAATTCAGATCAGCCTCAGCAACTTATCAAGGCTCTAAGCAAGACCGTTTCAAAATTAAAAATGGGCTAGGGGTGTTGCTCAGTGGTTAAGTACCCCTGGTTCAATCCCTGGTAATCCCCCCAAATCACATTACGTGCATATATGAACACATGACAGGGAACCTCACCTTTATGTGTAGGTAGGAAAAAAAACAATCAAATATAAATTAATAAAAATGAGCAAAGGGAAGTCAAGACTACAAAGGAGAATGAGAAGGAGGATGGGAAGGAAAAGGGTGGGGAATCATGAACCGAAATAGAACTACATGCATTTGAGTTTGTTGGGATGAGCCCTACTACTATCTATATCTATAAAGCTTTAATTTTAAAAATTGCATATTAGTGGGGAGACCAATTGTAGTTAAGTTTAATACTCAGTAAGGGGACACAAAACTTGAAATGCCACAAAAGGGGGTCAAACCCACTTTAATTGATTAACCAAAGGCAGTGACTGCAACTTATCTTTCTAGACACAAACATTTCAAAATCCTTCTTAATAAGGTCTATATATATTGACAACTAAGAATGGAGTGGACAAGGAAATCCCCATTCAGAAGGAAGAATTGTTCTTCCACTTAACATTTAAAACCACACTACTGTTTTGTGTTTTTCCCCCCTCTTTGTAATACTAGACAGTGACCCTAGAGACACTGTCACTGAACTTCATTGCCCACAGCCCTTTTTTAAATTTTTAGACAGGTTGCCCAGGCTGGCCTCAAAATTGCAATCCTCCTGGCCTCAGCCTCCCAAGTAGCTATGGATATGTGCTACTATGCCGGGCACACATTTTTTTAACCAAGTTTTAAAAATATTCTTTGTACATATGCCTTAAGTTTGCACTCAAATAACCTGAGCTTTATACATTCCAGAAAGTTTATATATGTTAATAAAGCTGCAGAAATACTCTTATTAGAGATTACAAGAATTGAGTTACACTGCCATTACATTAATGCAGAGCAGTGAGTAGTCCCATTGTGTAACATCCAGTATTTTATAAATCCCAAATGAAACATGGGATCTTATAATGTGTTACTAAGAATATTTTGTTTAAAAGTTCAAAAAATTTTCTAGGGCTGGGGATATTGCTCAGTTGGTAGAGTCCTTGTCTCGCATGCACAAGGCCCTGAGTTCAATTCCCAGCCCCGCCCCCACCATTTTCTGAAAAGTATCCCAGAATGGACCTTCAAGAATAAAATTCCTACAAGGCGTGGTGGCGCATGCCTGTAATCCCAGTGGTTCGGGAGGCTGAGGCAGGAGTTAAAAGCCAGCCTCAACCTCAGCCAATGTGAGGCGCTAAGCAACTCAGTGAGACCCTGTGTCTAAATAAAACATAAAATAGGGTTGGGAGGTGGCTCAGTGGTTAAGTGTCCCTGAGTTCAATCCCTGGTACCAAAAAAAAAAAAAAAAGCAACACTGTTGATCATCTAAGAAGTCACTGGGATTATGGGCATGCACCTCCATACCCAACTTTTATTACTGAAACCAATTCTAACAGCAAAAGTAATACTATTATCCAAGAGATTAAGATAAATAAGTAATTCATACAAGATCATGCAGTTAATTGATAAAATAAGGAACCCCAGCAGTTTGCCTGGAGAATCATCACTCTTTTGCTTTTCTCAGTGCTCGGATCAACTCAGGGCCTTGTGCATGCCAGCAAGTGATCGAGCACTTAGCAACAACACCCCCAGCCCCTAAAACCATCACACAAAACTTCCACTTTATATCATTTCTGGTTTGACATTTACTAATATATAATATCAACTATCAATGGGATAGTCACATTAAAACCAGTCTCTTCGAGCACTCTGCCCTTCAAAATGTCCTGGGAAGCATTAGCTGGCAGTTTAGTGACAAATATTTTAATCCTATCTCTAATCACCACATTGTGAAGTTCTGTCATACTACCTGAAGCAGAAATGAAACAACATTTAGGATGACTGTACACAACTTTGTTACTCCATACAAACCACTTAAAAAATTCAGATTTAGGCCAAGTGTGGTGGTATATGCCTCTAATCCCAGTAGCTCAGGAAGCTGAGGCAGGAGGATTTTGAGTTTAAAGTCAGCCTCAGCAACTCAGAGAGGCCCTAAGTAACTCAGTGAGACCCTGTTGCTAAATAAACACTTGCCTGGCATGTGTGAGGCACTGGGTTCAAATCTCAGCACCACATATAAATAAAGGTCTATCAAAAACTAAACTAAAATAAAAACTTAGATGACTGCATTGCTCCTTTGTTCATGGCAAAGGTTTTACGAACCAAAAAACTGTACAGAGATTACACTTCCATTGGGACAAACAGAATATACTATTCAAACAAATTCAAGTACAACCATAAACACTGCTAGGATTTTCCCACATCTTACCTGCACAGATGAGGAGAGTTCACATTTAGCCTTCTCAGCAGCTTCTCGAACCCTCTGAAGTGCCATATTATCTTTGGTCAAATCAACCCCTGTCTACAAAGTGATATGACATTACCATTAGTGAGGTGATAAATACTACTTAAGTTGCAGTAACAATGCAAAACACCATGAAATGCAGCCATATCTTCATAAGCAAACATAAATTATTTTTCATTAACCGTAAAAATCTGTGGGGAAGAAAAGAACTTATTCTTAAACGGGTATCTATCTGACTGGAGTCAGGAGACTGAAATGAATGATTTTCAGCTCTTTCTGGCTCTAGAACTCCTAATTCAAAGAAGGGATCCCTTAATGCCTTTTCAAATACTCTATAGTGATTGACATTATTCCCATTCTAAAGCTATAATAACCAGAATAGTTCACTGCCCATGAAAGTGAAACACAATTATTTCAGTAGTTGTTAAGAGCAAAAAGTTGTAGAAAAAAAGCCAAGAGCATCCTGGTGTGATAGTGCATGACCGTAATCCCAGCTGCCCAGGAGGCTGAGACGGGAGGATTGAGAGTTAAAAGCCAGACTGAACAACAGAGATATGCAAAGCAACTTAGTGAGACCCTATCTCAAAAAAAAAAAAAAAACCAAAAAAACAAAACAAAAAAACCCCCAAGAGTGGCATGCGTGAGGCATGGGTTCGATCCTCAGCACCCACATAAATAAAATAAAGGTACTATGTCAAGAGTATTCTGAACAAAGAAATTCTCAAATTCCCCATGTTCACACTTATTAACCACAATGGTAACCAACCTCTCTCTTGAACTCCTTCACAATGTGTCGTAACAAGGCCTGGTCAAAGTCTTCACCACCAAGGAAAGTGTCCCCATTGGTGGATTTCACCTCAAACACGCCTTTCTGTATTTCCAGGATAGAAATGTCAAAAGTGCCACCACCTAAATCATACACAGCAATGCTAGAAAGAAAAAGAAAGCCTTATGATACAGAACTTATCCCAAGGACTGAATTTCAACAACCAAAGGAAGTTAAACTTAGCCATTAAAGTATAATCATGATACATGCCTAAGTGACATTTGAGCATACATTAACACAAGGCCCCGATTTTAAAAAAAATATGGAAAATGCAGAGAGAAAATGAACTCAATTTTTAGTATCAGTAAGACAGCACTCAACCCGGTTTTGGAGAAATACTTGTCAACATGAATATCAAGAGAAAAATAAATGATCAAGGCCCCAAAGTAAATAATGGAATGATCTTAAATAACTTGAAGATAAAGGAAGCACATTTTTACTCTAAATACAAACAAAGCTAAATCAATAAAAAAGAGGATTCAGAAAGAGTCTCATGGCTACATGACCTTAGTTTCATGCATCCAGGCTGGACTGTATTTTACAAACTTACATTTTGTCTTCAGATTTGTCTAAACCATAGGCCAGAGCAGCAGCTGTGGGTTCATTAATCACTCGAAGCACATTCAGTCCAGATATCTGGCCAGCATCCTTAGTGGCCTAGAGAAAACAAAGATAAAAGCATTTTCCCCTACCTTGTGACCCAGGCAACATTTTGTAAAGAAGAAAGCTAACTGATCTCACCTGCCTCTGTGAATCATTGAAATAAGCAGGGACTGTGATTACAGCATTTTTTGCTGTGTGACCCAAGTAATTTTCTGGAAAAGAATCAGAATAAATTTAATCATGGTATTATGCCACAAAAAACAAGCAACAGAATTATTAACATAGCCTCGCAACCTGTGTCATCCTTTTAAGACCAAAGACAACGCACAACACTGGTCAGTGTTTTAGCAAGTAATTAACATGGAGACAAGACCTTTTAAGAAATACTCCAAAATTAAAGACACTGGCTGAAAACTCAAAAAAATCTCACCTCTAGTATGTTAGTGAAGGTTCACCAAGTCACAATAACCTTTAGACTTAAAACAGCTACTAGTTTTTAAAACGCAAAAGTTATAAGCTTTACTTAATAGGGACAAAAGCTTAAGGTATAGCCTTTTGACTTTCAATATGGAACGCTAAACTCTCCAACACAAAAGCAGCAAGCCCACATACTACCAGGAAAACGTGAAATTAGGAGGTTGATATAGTGAATAATAAGAGTTGTGCCTTTCCTAGGTTTTCTGTACAAAGGGCATGACTCAGCTACAGAACAGTGGGGTAATCTCAGGTAAGTCAAAATATTCAAACTTTTCCAGATGTGAACACTCACCTGCAGTTTCTTTCATCTTCATCAACACAAATGCTCCAATTTGACTTGGAGAATACAGTTTTCCATGAGCCTCAACCCAAGCATCACCATTGGAGGCACGAACAATTTTGAAGGGAACATTTTTACTGAAAGCCACAGAGAATTATATGAGATAACTGGCTAGTTCGACCTACCATAAAACAAAGTTATGTCACAAATGTCCACTATCCCCCCCACAAGAGACTCATGAACAAAGGATAATTTTATAACATCATTTAATGAAAATCTTTAGAAAATAATAAAAATGTGTACATGAATGCTTAAGGTAGCATTCAGATGCCAAAAGTGAAAATAACCCAAATGTCCATCAAATGACAAATGGTTAAACAAATGTTTATCTATACAGAATATTATTTAGTATATCTACACAGAATATTATTTAGTCATGAAAAGAAATGAAAATTGATATAAGCCATGAGATAAGGACGAACCTTAAATTACCCTAACTGGGAAAAAAAACAGTCACAAAACCCAGTGATTACTATAGAACTGACACTCCAATTAAAGTTCAACAAACCAATTAAAAAAAAAAAATTGGGGCTGAGGTTGTGACTCAGTGGTAAAGCACTTGCCTAGCAAGCATGAGGCACTGGGTTCGTTCCCCAGCACATTAAAACAAACAAAACAAAAAAATAAGATACAGGTACCATGAATATCTACTAAAAATATTTTTAAAAATTATACAAAAACGGGTAACTCTACATGTCTGGTATTTTTAACCTGAAATAAAAGCAAACTCAAGTGTCGTCCCCCCACCCCACATCGCCCTGCCCTGTATCTGTATATATCTGAACAATACATGATAGAACCTGTGCCATTAACTTATTCTGCCATTGATTCACATAGTTCAGGAATATCTCATAAACCTTTACATGCATGATCAACACAGCAAATATTGAATCCAAGAAGGCAAAAATGAAGTTTCCTTTGTAAGAAAGGATGTACCCCTATTTCGGAGGCATGGATTCCCCACATGTAATCCACTAAAGAAAGATGTTTTGAGGATCTTAAACTGCTAAGAGTGTTCTGTTTGGCCCTTGCAAATAACTATGTTTTTTGCTATTACTCACATGTCTTTCTGTACTTCAGGGTCATCGTATCGCCGGCCAATGAGACGCTTGGTGGCATAGAATGTATTGTTTGGGTTGGTGACAGCCTGTCGCTTCGCTGGCATCCCAACAAGTCGTTCACCTTCTGCTGTAAAGGCAACAACGGAAGGGGTGGTTCTGGCACCTTCAGCATTCTCCAGCACCTAAAGTCCCCAAAATAAGAATTAAGATTCTAGTCACCACCAGCATCTTTTTTTTTTAAAGTTGTAGATGGACATAATACCTTTATTTTAAAATTTATTTTTATGTGAGGCTGAGTATTGAACCCAGTGCCTCATACATACTTGGCATGTGCTCTACCACTGAGCTACAACTCCAGCCCACCAGAATATTAACAGCAACTATTTCACAAAGGCTTAAATACAGCATTAACTGGCATGCTTTACTACTGTGAATTCTAACTCAGCAAATACCAACTCTTGAAAGCATTTAACAGTTTGGTATCTTTAAACTTAACTTGAAAGAACTCACAACTATTCGGGTGCTCTAAATCTTGGTAACAACCCAGAGGGAATAAAGATGTTACATGCAAAGAGTAAGTAGGTTCAGAGTAACGGCCTTTATCTAGAAAGCTCTTGCATGTGTGACTCCATTTGCTTCTAGCCTGCAACCTCTCATCTTGGTTCAATATATTTAAAAAACTGCTGCACTATTACACTGCAAGCCAGTCTGGCCTCTATCCCAGGTGAATGTTTTTCAATCCCATGGGGAAGTGAAATTCATTCAGTTATCAGCATCACAAAGATTCTCACCTCACAAATCTTAAGAAACCAAAAGCAGCTTTTAAAATGCAAACCAAACTTCAGAATTCCCATCTAAGCCCCAAAGCACATAATTCTGGAGTGGACACTAGCTACTCCATGTGACCCAGAGCTTCTTATCATGCTCACCTTTGCTTGTTTACCCTCCATAACTGCCACACAGGAGTTGGTAGTACCCAAATCAATACCAACAACTGCGCCCTTGATTGCTTCTGATCTGTAAGATATTTAAAACAATGTCATAGTTATTACCTTATTACTGGACTCCAAATCAGAAGGAAACACAAATATTTGATATGGGAGGAAAATAGTGATACACTACATTATAAATAAGCAGGTTGAAGTAGTGCTTCTCACTAGGATGGGTTATTAAAAAAGGAATAGTTAATCGTAAATATAGAGACCGTTAATATGTATCCTCTGTCAAAGGAAATTAAGTTATACTTACGCATAATCTCTCCTTGAAACAAACCTAAAAGCCTCATGACTAAGGCCATTCCAACCATCCTAAAAAATAAAAAACAGTTGCATCAGTCATCAACAACATAAGAAAACTTAGGCTTGTTCTAATTATTTAAGAGTTTTATGCATCAGCCTGAATGTGTGTGTACTCAGATTCTAAGTAACTCAGAAGTTTGTGCTGACCTTGTCAAGGTATTAATGTTGTAGAGCCATTAAAAAAAGGGGAAGGGGGGGTTAGGCAGAAGCTTTCCATGTGGATAAAAGACGTTTTATTACTTTGTTAACATCTAACCTAGGACTACTTTCAAGCCTTCCATTAAACCCACATCTGAGTGGATAGCTTCAATTCTCATTCACCAAAGATGTAGTTTTCGTTTTAGATGAAGAGCAACCACAACCTTCTTTCTTGTCCTTACTTTTTCTGATGTACAAACGAGTACAATCTTCTACTTAAGATTTTCTGTTCCTAAACACGAAAACTGAAGCTGAAATTTGATTTTGGACTTCTTCAGTCATTTCTCTTCCTTTATTCACCACACCACCGGGGTCCTACACACACTACTCTGCATAAAGGAAAACCTGTCTGAAAATGAAACCTATACTAGCGGCTCCCTCCCAACAGGCTGCATCCCTCTCCCAAGGCGAAACCTATCCAACCAGACACAGAACAGACTGTTAGGACCACCACCTCGTAATTCGTGGGATAAGAGACTAGATCACGAGTAGTGTGACTCAGCAGGACCCGAAGGGCAGAGGAAGAGGGCCCAGAACTAGGCCTTAAGCCGACAACGCTAAATACTTAAGTCCGTTACCTTCTTTCCCTCGTGATTTTCCCTTGAAGAACCTGACCCTGAAGGGCGCGGCCTGCCCTACTGAGTCCTGAGACCGTGAGCCGTTTCGGGAAGGCCCGACAGTTTCTTACCTGGTGGCGAGCGGCCGTGGGGCCCCGGGAAGCTGCGGCACCCACGAGGCGGGCTGCTGCGGCTCGGCTAGCGCTTATCATGGCGGCTAGACCTAAGGAATAGGAAGAAGCAAAGAAGCGCTCGGCTGGACGGGAGGAGAGCGGCGCGGTGGTGGCAGCGATTCTGGAAACCTCCAACCACGTGGGGTCGTGGGGCGGAGATTGGGCACTGAGGCCCAGAGAGCCACTTTTCCAATGAGGCGTCGCCCGCGCCGCCTGACCAGAACCTACCCGACTGCCGCTTCCGGAACTAGGGCGTGCTCATAACGTGCTCCGAAGCATGACTGTTGAAAACACTTTGCCCTCCAGTTTCGGCCGCAGCTGCTGAGAGGATAGTGAAAAGCGAAGAGGTGGAGATGGATATTCAGGCAGCGCCTCAGACAGCCGTGGTCCCCAGCTTCAAGAAAGACTCAAGGTCACACGGGATAAATTGCGAACCGATTACAGACTCCTTGCGTCAGTTGCGTGGAGGGAGGAGCTTGTTGCGCCTACGCAGGTGGCATTGAGCTAAGGCTCGAGAACGCATGCGCGCAGAGACTGGTGGAAAACGGAGTGGGAGATTAACAGTGTTTATTGGATGCCCCCGCCCAAGCGAGTTTGGGCCGAATACAGCTGAGAGCGAACCCGAGCGCGTGCACTGTGCGCGTGGACGTTTTCCCCGCTCCCTTCTCTCGCGGAGGGCGCCATCTTGTCCTGGGGCTTTGTTTTGTTTTTTGGTACTGAGGTTGGAACCCAGGTTGCAAAACCACTGACCTACATGCCCTGCTCTTTTTTATGTTTTATTTTGAGACGGAGCCTCGCTAAATTCCTTAGTGTTTCGCCAAATTGCTGAGGCTGGATTTGAACTCGCGATTTGAACATCCTTTGGAGCCGCTGGGATTACAGGCGTGCGTTGCGCGCCCTACTGGGGGCTATGTTAAGTGCCATGGTTTGTTCATAATTTGAAATACACCTAGGTATAGAGACCGTAGACAAAACTTTTGCTGTGTTTTACCTCGGGAGTCTCGGGTTTCCAGCCTCTAAAGCAGCGTTTCGTTCAGAGTTTTGGGTCGCCCTAAAACTAATCATCGTGCAAACGATCAAGGAAAAAACTACTTGAGCTCAGGCTCTTCCCCTTTTACTGTGCTGGCCGAAGGCCTCCTCTGTACCATTTCAAACCTTGTGCTGGTTGTAAAATGTCAGTTACTCCTTTGTGACAAGTTTCACATTTTTTATAAAAGGAATTCATTGATTCCACAAACTATGTGTTAGGCACTTTTCTAGTTGGTGGGAATACAGTAAAAGCAAAACGTGTTCGTTGATGAGAGGACAGTGAGATTGAACTTGATTTTGATGATGAAGCCATTTGTCTTTGAAGTCCTCTTTCAAAAGAGGAAAATGCTTAAAGCCCCTACTTCCTTATAAATAAGTACTGTATTATTAAGTGGTCATCACTGCAAGGAATTGTGAAGGAAATGTGGAAAAATTGGGAAGGAAAGAAAATAATTGAAGAGTTTACATTCTGAGGGGAAGAAAGTGAAAAATAGAAAAGGTGCTGGGCTTGGCTCACGCTTGTAATCCCAAAGGTTTGGGAGGCTGAGACAGGAGGATCGCTAGTTAAAAGCCAGCTTCAGCAACCCAGGAGCTAAGCACTCAGTGAGACCCTGTCTCTAAATAAAATACAAAACAGGGCTGAGGAGGTAGCTTAGTGGTCGAGTACCCCTGGGTTCAATCCCCAGTACCCTCACCCCCAAAAGAAAAAGTCAGATGTAATGTTGGTCATAGATTATGCAGATTCTAAGATTTTTTTAAAGCCTCCCACACCCTCTTTTCTAAGCATTAACTATTATTATCCTCACTAGTCTACTTAAAAACTCTTTTTCAAGATTCAGAGATAGGCTTTCCTAAGACATCAAAGCTATAGGCTCATGAACCGTATTTGTAGAGATTTACATTTTAAAACAGAATGCTGATGAAGGGAAATAATACTAAATAGTGAAGCAAAATAGAAACAACATTACATCTTTATGTTGTATATGACAGGGAGAGACTGTTCTCAATTCTCTGTGCAGTCAAGAGGCTAAGAATTTGCTTTTTTTTTTTTTTTTGTTCCATACACTTAAAAGCCTCAAAGTATTAATCAAAAGAATTCTGGAATCAAATTATGTTTTCTAAAGGGTGTCTGAGACCACGATTGTGTGGGTATGACTTTCCAGTGGTTTCTCCAGGCGTCTTGCAAATATTCTCCATAACCACAAGGGGGATGTGGTAGTGCTAGATATTCAAAGCATGAACCTGAGAATGAAGGCTTTTAATATTTGCCAGTATAAAAGACAGGCTTCTGCACTGCCTTGCAAATTACCATAGCCTACAGCCTGAAGGCTGGAAGAAATGAATCTGATTCTAAGAAAACATAAGGGTTCAAATGAATAAGAGCAGACAAATCCTCAGCCAAGTAGTGTACATCACAGAACTCTAAATAGAGATTGGCATCTCACTGTTAAATTGGGAAATGGAAGGAAGTGGTGCATAATTTGCATGAATGTTTACTAAACAGAACAAGTGGCTGTCCAATACCTGTGCATAGTGTGTATGTATGTATATATATATTTTAGTACAGGGGGTTGAACTCAGGGACACTTAACCACTGAGCTACATCCCCATCCCGTTTTTTAAAATTTTTTATTTTGAGACAGTGTTTCACTAAGTTGCTCAGGACCTCATCAAGTTGCTTATACTGGGCTTGAACTTGCAATCCTCCTCCCTCAGCCTCCCCAGTCACAGGGATTACAGGCATGCACCCCTGTGTCCAGCATATCATTTTTTTAAAAAAAAATATTTTTTTAATTGTAGTTGGATACAATATCTTTATTCCATGTATTTATTTTTATGTAGTGCCGAGGATCAAACCCAAGGCCTCGCATATGCTAGGCGAGTGATCTACCGCTGAGCTACAACCCCAGCCCCATATCATACTTTTAATAATATTCTGGGGCTACAGCCATTAGTAGGAATTTTCTCTAGTAATTAATAGTAGCTGTTAAGTGTTTACTTAAGCTCCACAAACTGCTCTAGATTCATGTACATTTTATAGTGGAATGTCAAAACATGACCTAAGTAAATGTTGTATTCTCATTTTGCAAATGTACAATTTGAAGCTTAAGATTGATTAAATATGTTACCTGGGGTCTTATGGCAATTGAATGGTAAAGTTAGAATCTGGGTCAGTCAGTCTGACTCCAGAATCTACACTGCCAACAACCACTGTTCTGCTGCCTCATAAACAAACAGGATCTGATGTTTCACCTCTACATTTACATTTATAAAATCTGAGTTTTATAACACTGGCTTAATCCATTATTAACAGCAGTTACTCTGACAATGGAATAAAAAGAAATACTTTAAATTTTTTAAATGTAGTTTAAGGGGCTGCGGTTGTAGCTCAGTGGTAGAGCTTGCCTAACATGTGAGGCACCAGGTTCGATCCTTAGCACCACGTAAAAATAAATACATAAAATAAAGGTATTGTATCCATCTAAAACTAAAAAAATAAATTTTTAAAAAATGTAGTTTAGGTTCCAAAACAACCTTAAGGAAAATTTGGGGCTAACCAAGTGTGATAGCTCATGCCTGTCTGAAAAATAAAGTAAAAAGATATGGGTATATAGCTCAGGGTCAGAGAGCCCCTGGGTTCAATCTGTAGGACCCCTACTCCTACATACATACATAAAAGAAAATTCCAGACTAGGGATATAGTTCAATGGTAGAGGGCCTACCTAGCCAGTACAAGGCCCTGAGTTTGATCCCCAGTACTGTTCAAACAACAACAAAAAAAGGTTGGAAAAAATTAATATAACTCAAGGATCAAATTTGTATTTTTAAAGCAAAGTCTCTAAACTGATGTCTCGGGAGACATTTTATTCAGTCTCCTGAAAGATGAATGTCATATGTGGTAATTTCCAACTTCCAAAAATAAAAATGAGGCATGTAGGGGCTGGGGTTGTGGCTCAGTGGTAGAGTGCTTGCCTAGCATGTGTGAGGTATTGGATTCGATTCTCAGCACCGCATATGAATAAATAAATAAATAATAAATAAAGGTCCATCAACATTAAAAAAAAAAACTTTTCTCTTAAAATGATGATTTGTCACTTTGTTCTTGAATTTTTTTATAGCTGCATCAGATTTCAGGAAATAGTTCCCACCTTTCTTCTTTGGCATCACTATCAGAATGCCTTATGCGATGTTGCTCCTCTCAAGCAGAGCTTGCCCCAGTGAAACGTAGGAAGTGTTAGGGTGGGTGGGTGATGTCTCTGTCCCCAGGGCTGATGACAACTAGTAGGTTTCATTCTCTGTTGAATGTCTAATAATCCACCAACTTGCCTGCTTTCTAGTAGGAGAAGGAAAGAAATAGAATGACCGTGAAAGAAAAGTAGAGGAACAATAAATCAAAATAAGATGTCACTTTCATTAGATAGGACATTTATATTCTAGTGATAATCAGTTACATTGCACAGGTAGAAAACAATCTTGGGAGCTGGGGATATAGCTCAGTTGGCAAAGTGCTTACCTCACATGTACAAGGTTCTGCATTCAATCCCTGGCAACACACACACACACACACACACACACACACACACACAGGCAGTCAGTCTCATTCTGGATACGTATTCAGGTATAGGACAGACAAAGGACATGAAGCCCCTACAGTAGGACTGACAAAACCAGAGATTTGGCTCTTTATGAAGATCCATTTAATGCTTAATTTTTAAGGATGTAGTGACCTTTTCTAAATTTTTTAGTGTAAAAAGCCAGAATGATTATTCATTCTTGTCCAGCATAATATAGCAAAAAGAAGTTTTAAAGTAGGAGTGAGCCAGAACTTGGGTTCTAGAGACATACACAAAGGACCTTAAGTGTCATTTAAAGACTGAAGAGAAACAATGAATTGCCCAGTGTCACACAAACAGTATTAGCTTCTGCTCTACCATCTCCTTTTTTTTTTTTTAATGCTTTTTAGAAATCGCCCACATGATTTCACTCAATTAGTACAGTATCTTTTCAAATGTTTACAGATAACCTGGTTCATATATCCACTTCCTCACTTCTTAAGGCACATGATCAGTGAAATTATGTCAGCTGTTTTTCAATTTGCATGGATTACTTGCTTTATGTGAAGGGCTGTTGGACTGAACATTTATGTCCCCACAAAATTCATATGGTAAAACCTTACCAGCATAATATTGTTTGGAGGTGCATCCTTTGGAAGGTAATTAGGTCATGAGGATGGACCCACATAATGAATTAGTGGCCTTATAGAAAGAGTGATGAGAGAGATTTCCCTTTATCACGAGGAGCGCTCTCAAGAGAACCCAGCCATATCCTAATACTGGATGTCCACCTCTAAAACTGTAAGAAATAAACTTTTGTTGTTTAAGCCACCTGAT